ACACGGCATGCCGTTTAAAAATATCAAAAGCCAAGTTTTTACTTGCAAATTTATCAGAAGCCAAGTGTTTACTTGCAAACTTATCAAAAGCCAAGTGTTTACTTGCAAACTTATCAAAAAATCAATTATCAAAAGCCAAGTGTTTGCTTGCATACTCATTCAAAGTCTTCTCTAAAACAGACTTCTACTCTTTGTTATCTCACCGATGTTGGCCACAGTGACGAACTCTTTTCATCCCCAGTGGATAAAGCGCGCTATATAAATTCGGTGTTCATTGCTGGAGCGGACTTGTTCACGGGAACATATCCGTAAACCAAAATGTTCAACTCAGAAACCCAGCACACAACAAATCGCTGGTCTAAATTCAGTGTTCATTGCTGGAGCGGACTTGTTCACGGGAACATATCCGTAAACCAGAATGTTCAACTCAGAAACCCAGCACACAACAAATCGCTGGTCAAAATCTTGTGTTCATTGCTGGAGCGAAGTTGTTCACGGGAACATATTCGTAAACCAGAATGTCTCAAAAACCCAACGACTTCGTTGGTCATTGCACAATAACATGTTCATCGTCGACGCAAACTCACCCGTAAACCAAAACGACTGTTCCAACTCAAATCGCTATCTCAAATAATGCAAGGCAAAAATAACGCTGACCAAAAGGATAAACGTCATCCAAGCTGAATCAAATACTAAGTCTGAAATCAGGCAAGCTTAGTCTTGCTGTCGCATCAATCGAGCTTCGCATCGTCGTCGCATCGATCAAACTCTGCTTCATCGTCGCATCGATCAAATTTCACCTCATTGTCGTCGCATCACCTTGTCGCCGATGTCACCTTCCGGTCGAGCTCCACTTCACCTCATTGCCATCGCATAACCTCAGCGTCATCATGTCACCTTGTCGATATCGCATCACCTCGGCGTCATCACGCATCTCGTTGATGTCGTGTTACCTCATTACTATCGCATCACCTTGTCACCAATGTCACCTTCCGATCGAGCTCTATCTCACCTCGCCATGTCTACCACGCGATGCCGTCGTCTTCTCCTCGTCGCGATGTATGCCCATCCACTTTGCTGGACTGAGTCATCACGAGACCTCGACGGCACGGACCTTCTCGCTGCGTGAAAGCCTCGTTGCGAAGACCTCGCCATCAACGAACACCACCTAGCCGGAAAAACCACAATCTCATCGCTAACTTCGTCGATCGCGACTAGAGCATTGGAGTAGACCGGCCTCGTCGAACTGACGGAGTGGGACTCTGTAGAAAGAATCATCCTCCCTCCGAGAAGCAAAGGGTCGTCGACTATTTTTTTGTGGAATCATCTAATTNTGAAGTTGTCTCGTCGCTGTCCTCGTCGCGCGAATGGTGAAGCTGCAAGTACATAGAGTCGGAAAGCATTCTTTTCAATTCACCTCTCCACTGTGCCAAAGATCCACGATCCGAGTCAGTTGCGCACCACAAAGCAGAAAAACTACCAAGTCATTAAATCACTGAGTCGTTGAGTCGCCAAAAAAAAAAAAACTCGGTCGAGTCAACTGACTGCGTCAACTCGGCCGAGTTGACTCAGTGAGTCATCTCGCCAGAATCTTGCCGTCATTTTGCCGTCTCCTCGTTCTCACCTCGCCGCCGACTTTCCGAGAAGTCCAACGGCACCACCGACACGATT